AACCAGGTAGAAGTAGGGTCCAGTCCCTCTGCTCCCTAGCCCAGCCTGTACCGGAGGGCATCAGCAAAAAGCTGTGGTCTTTAATTTCGGCAATGCATCAGGATGAGGTCACGGGTGTTGTCAAAGCAGAAAAGGGGATTCTGAGACTCGGAGAGCACCTGTACTTAAAACACGGGCATGATAAGACAAAGCATGATTACATTAGGCAGAAAATGAGAGAAGTCGGTAGGTTAATTAACGAAGCAAAAACCGCAGGGAAACTGAAAACAATTAAGGATTTCTTTATTCCTTCCAACTTTAACCATGTGATTGATGCAGTCAGGTCTGTGGCTGGATATGATGAGGAAACAAATCAATACAAGACTCCATCCTTGGCCCTCAAACTCGGCCATAGCCTCAGAAAGCTAGCAGATATTCTTGAATGTGACTCAAAAATGGAGCATTGTGTTGATGAACTATTTATTAAAAACCTCCAACGAAGCCGGCTGCTTTTTGAGAAGAGGTGGGACGTCTGTGTTTCTTCTGCTGCCCTACAGACCCTCCGGCAAGCCAAGTGGAACACTCCGGACCTGCTCCCTCTGACTGAGGACGTTAGAGCCATGCATGCACATATTGAGGTATGTCGACCTGAATATGTGCAAACCCTAATAAGTGAGCCAACGTCTAAGCATTGGTCTAAACTGGCAGTTTTGACTCTTTGTGAGGTCATCATTTTCAATCGAAGAAGGGAAGGTGAGGTTTCAAAGATGCCACTGACAGCCTTTACCTTAAGAAGTAAGACTGGGATCCATTCTGACATTGCTCTGGGACTGTCCCAACTTGAGAAAAAGCTGTGTCAGCATTTTCAACGCATTGAAATTAAAGGGAAAAGAAGTCGGAAAGTGCCGGTTCTTTTGACTCCTGAAATGATTGCTTCGATGGAGGTGCTGGTGGAGAACAGAAGGGCCTGTTCCATCTCTGACCATAACCCATACTTCTTTTCCCGCCCGGGCGCAGACACCCACATCAGGGGATCAGACTCCCTACGCCAGGTAGCCAAAGAATGTGGTGCGGTGCATCCAGAGATGCTATCCTCAACCAAACTTAGAAAGCACATAGCTACTATGTCTACAGTTCTCAATATGAAAGAGAATGAGATGGACATACTTGCCAACTTCCTCGGCCATGACATTCGCATCCACAGGCAATATTACAGACTACCAGAGGGGACACTGGAGCTGGCCAAAATCAGCAAAGTGTTGATGGCCATGGAGCAGGGAAGAGTGACGGAATTCGAAGGAAAGAGCCTCGACCAGATACAAATTGAGCCTGAAGGTAATTCTTGATATTATTAAAATATGTATGATTTTTTTCCCCTAAAGGCCACTTGTATTTTTATTTTCTGTGCGACAGGGAGAGCAGTAGAGATCCTCTCACAAACGGACGGGCTAAAAGAAACTTCAAGCGGAGAACCTTCAACCATTCATCCAGATGCACCCCATGGTAGTGGCAGTGCCCCTTCTGGTAAGTGTACCAGGTGGGGGATTACAGCCAGGCTGCTTGGTCCTCACCCTGGGAGTGTATATTGCTAATATATTTTTATTTCTCTCCCTAGAACGTGTAAGAAAGCCATGGTCTGCATCTGAGGTGAAGGCTGTGGAGAAGACCATGACACCTTTCATACAGACTGGAAAGGTCCCTGGGAAGTCTCACTGCCTGGCCTGCATTAATGCCTCACCAGATGACCTTAGACATCGGACATGGAGTGGCATTAAATTCTATGTCAAAAATAGAATCACTGCAATTCGAAAACAAAATCTAAAATAAAATTCCTTTAAAATAGTTGTTTGGTTTCTATTGACTGTTTTGTATTACTTAAAGTCTTGGTAAAAAAAGATTATGTCTATGGGTCCCATTCTGAACGGCCCTGTCAAAGGGACCCACCAGGTAACAAAAACGTGTATGTGTGTGTGTGTGTGTGTGTGTGTGTGTGTGTGCGTGTGCGTATGTTCGTGTGCGTTTGTTTTGTGGACATATGAGGACTTTTGTATGATAACACACCTTCAATATCAGGACCTGAGGAAATGTGAGGACTTTTTTCAGGTCCCCATTTTTCCATGCATACTACAGTGTTGTAGAGGCCCAGAACAAGCTCCACACCAAAAATCAAGCATGTCCCAAAATGTCTACAAATAGTGAAAATGTGTGTCGGGGCCGAAACACTCCGTCCCAAAAAGTTTGAAGCGCCTCTCTGGTCGTGCACGGTACTACCTTAACACACTTTTAACACACACACACTTGTCCTCATATGTCACCTTTTTTGTCACAAACTTAAATACATTCCCAGAGGTGGGTAGAATAGCCAAAATATTGACTCATGGTAATTTAAAAAGATACTTGAGTAGTGAGTGTGTGTTTGTAAAAAAAAAAAAAAAAAAAAAACTTTCAGCCAGAAGGGGCCTTTTGGAGTGGAGCTTGCATGTTCTCCTTGTGTCAGTAGATTATCTCCCTGAAAAATTGTCTTAACTCCAGTTGGAAAATCATGTTTAAATTAGAATTTAAAACATCAAAAACAAATATAAAAGTGAGGTGTCAACACAATGTATAAAAATAAATAATTCTACATTAAAGTTATAATGTATTTGTCCATCTACAGAGTTACTCTCCGTGAAAGGAGTAATGATTGATAAATATTTCACTCAGACCTGAAGTGCTTGTTATACTGTAGGTCCTAATATGTCACTCAGACCTGATGTGTGTGTTGTCGGTCCTAATATCTCACTCAGACCTGATGTGTGTGTTGTAGGTCCTAATATCTCACTCAGACCTGATGTGTGTGTTGTAGGTTCTGATATCTCTCAGACCTGATGTGTGTGTTGTAGGTCCTAATATCTCACTCAGACCTGATGTGTGTGTTATAGTCCTAATATCTCACTCAGACCTGATGTGTGTTGTACAGTAGGTCTAATATCTCACTCAGACCTGATGTGTGTGTTGTAGGTCCTAATATATCACTCAGACCTGATGTGTGTGTTGTAGGTCCTAATATGTCACTCAGACCTGATGTGTGTGTTGTCGGTCCTAATATCTCACTCAGACCTGATGTGTGTGTTGTAGGTCCTAATATCTCACTCAGACCTGATGTGTGTGTTGTAGGTCCTGATATCTCACTCAGACCTGATGTGTGTGTTGTAGGTCCTAATATCTCACTCTGACCTGATGTGTGTGTTGTAGGTCCTAATATCTCACTCAGACCTGATGTGTGTGTTGTAGGTCCTAATACGCGCATTTTCACACACGTCTCTCCTGCACTTTCTTATATTCTCCGCTTCTGTTAAACCTTTCATATAAGCCCCAGACCGAGGGGCACAGGGAGTGTGTGGCTGCAAGGCCAAAGAAAAGCGTTTACTACGAGTATAACTCCCTCTGTCCTGACCCTGCTCTCAGTGGTGCTATCGCAGTAACACTTCAGACATTAAAGAATCAGTCTTTATTTAATCACCAGAACACACACACACACACACACACTTGTAACTTCCCTGCCTCCCATCGCTTTGCTCCACACTTTTCATTCTCATTCATTCATTTCTCAGCGCTCGTTGCTGAAGTGTGTGTGTGTGTGTGCACTCGTGTCCGGGGCGCGCACACACACACGTGCACACATATGTTACTATCTGCCCTGACCCTCGCTCTCAGTGTGGTGCTATTGCAATAACACTTCAGACATTCAAGAATCAGTCTCTATTTATTCGCCAGAAACACACACACACAAACACACACATTCCCGCAAACCCCACAAAGTGAGGTCGTAGTTAAAAACATGAAAACTGAGGACTTGCCTTTCCCAATGTTTTAGGAGGAAGAAAAAACACTTTCTAGACACTTGATGGCGCTGCGGAGCTATACACTCCATTGAAAAAATTTAGAACCAAGATTTAAGAAAACGTTTTGAACCATCAGAGTGGGGACAATAAGTGAAATTTGCAAAAGAAATCATGAATAGACCTTTTTTTTAACTCTTTGAAGGTTTATTTAGAATTATATAGTTGGTCACATGTGCAAATGGACACAGATTATTATGTGGGATCACAGCAATTTTAATAAAACAAAGCAAAACATTTGAAAGTATTTTGACGTGTCCCAACAGGTTTAGTGCTCTTGCATAATCTTAACATTTGTCAAACTATTTGACTTGACCAAGCAGGAGCAGAGCAGACTCCTCCCCCAAACTTCAGGTTAAGGACTCACTGAGGAAATGGCGAGGAGTGCTGCTCTGCTCTCTGCTTGGTCTGATGGAAAACCATGCAACTGCGGCGCTTTACAAAGTTTGGAGCTGCCTCTTGAGTCTAATACAAAGTGCTCTGTTGAACTGCAGACTCCTTTAAAACATACGGCTCTCCTCCTGCCACTCCAGGGTTTCTTTGGGTTTCTAGAAGCTTCTGATGGAGACAATAAGACACATAAAGACATGTTTATCCTGATGACCAGGTCTGGACCAGGTCTGAACCAGGACTAAAACCAGGAACCAGGACTAAACCAGGACTGAACCAGGACTGAACCAGGACTGACCAGGTCTGAACCAGGTCTACCCTAGGTCTAAACACCAGGACTGAACCAGGTCTAAACCAGGACTGAACCAGGACTAAACCAGGACTGAACCAGGACTGAACCAGGTCTAAACCAGGACTAAACCAGGTCTAAACCAGGACTGAACCAGGACTAAACCAGGCCTATACCGAACCAACCGAACCAGGACTAAACCAGGACTAAACCGAACCAGGACTAAACCAGGCCTAAACCAGGTCTAAAACCAGGTCTGAACCAGGACTAAACCAGGACTAAACCAGTACTAAACCAGGACTAAACGAACTAGGACTGAACCATGGTCTAAACCAGTCTAAAAAAGGACTGAACCAGGACTTAACCAGGACTGAATCCAGGTCTAAACAAGGACTGAACCAGGACTGAACCAGGCCTAAACCAGGTCTAAACCAGGTCTAAACCAGGACTCAAAACCAGGATCAGTTGTACTCACCATCTGTCCTCTTGGTCCGTTTGTTTTTCTGGGCCTTTGTGGAGGTCGGCTCTAGCTCCTCTTCATCAGACACTTCAGCACACGCTAAGAACACACAGAAGGGTCAGCAAGGACTAAACCAGGTCTGAACCAGGACTAAACCCAGGTCTAAACCAGGACTGAAACAGGTCTAAACCAGGACTGAAACAGGACAAAACCAGGACTAAACCAGGACTGAACCAGGACTAAACCAGGACTAAACCAGGACTAAACAAACCAGGTCTGAACCAGGACTGAACCAGGACTGAACCAGGACTGAACCAGGACTAAACTCAGACTAAACCAGGACTAAACCAGGACTGAACCAGGACTAAACCAGGGACTGAACCAGGACTAGAACCAGATCTAGACCCCTAGGTCTAAACCAGGTCTAGCCTAGGTCTAAACCAGGACTAAACCAGGACTAAACCAGGACTAAACCAGGACTAAACCAGGACTAAAACCAGGACTGAACCAGGACTGAACCAGGACTAAACCAGGCCTAAACCACGTCTAAACCACGTCTAAACCAGGACTAAACCAGGTCTAAACCAGGACTGAACCAGGTCTACCCTAGGTCTAAACATCAGGACTACCCCAGGAATGAAACAGGTCTAGAACCAGGTCGAAACCAGGAAACCAGGACTAAACCAGATCAGTTGTACTCACCATCTGTCCTCTTGGTCCGTTTGTTTTTCTGGGCCTTTGTGGAGGTCGGCTCTAGCTCCTCTTCATCAGACACTTCAGCACACGCTAAGAACACACAGAAGGGTCAGCAAGGACTAAACCAGGGACTGAACCAGGACTAAACCAGGGACTAAACCAGGACTAAACCAGGTCTACAGCCAGACTACACCCAGGACTAAACCAGTCTGAAACCAAGAGACTAAACCAGGACTAAACCAGGACTAACCCAGGTCTAAGCCCAGGCCTAAACCAGGACTCATGACTACCTAGGTCTGAACCAGGTCTAAACCAGGTCTGAACCAGGTCTGAACAGGTCTGAACCAGTCTGAACCAGGTCTGAACTAGGTCTAAACCAGGTCTAAACCAGGTCTGAACCAGGTCTAAACCAGGTCTAATCCAGGCCCCAGGACTAAACCAGGACTAAACCAGGACTAAACCAGGACTAAATAACCAGGACTACCCTTAGGTCTAAACCAGGTCCGAACCAGGTACTAAACCAGGACTGCCCTAGGTCTAAAACAGGACTAAACCAGGTCTAAAAAAGGACTGAAACAGGACTAAACCAGGTCTGAACCAGGTCTGAACCAGGACTAAACCAGATCTGAACCAGGTCTGAACCAGGTCTGAACCAGGACTAAACCAGGACTAAACCAGGACTAAACCAGGACTGAACCAGGACTACCCTAGGTCTAAACCAGGACTGAACCAGGACTGCCCTAGGTCTAAACCAGGACTGAACCAGGTCTAAACCAGGACTGCCCTAGGTCTAAACCAGGACTAAACCAGGTCTAAAAAAGGACTGAAACAGGACTAAACCAGGTCTAAAAAAGGACTGAAACAGGACTAAACCAGGACTGAAAGGACTAAACCAGGACTAAACCAGGTCTGAACCAGGTCTAAACCAGGTCTAAACCAGGTCTAAACCAGGTCTAAACCAGGTCTAAACCAGGACTGAAACAGGACTGAAACAGGACTGAACCATGTCTAAACCAGGTCTAAACCACGTCTAAACCAGGACTACACCAGGATCAGTTGTACTCACCATCTGTCCTCTTGGTCCGTTTGTTTTTCTGGGCCTTTGTGGAGGTCGGCTCTAGCTCCTCTTCATCAGACACTTCAGCACACGCTAAGAACACACAGAAGGGTCAGCAAGGACTAAACCAGGTCTGAACCAGGACTAAACCAGGACTAAACCAGGTCTAAACCAGGTCTGAACCAGGACTGAACCAGGACTGAACCAGGTCTGAACCAGGTCGAAACCAGGACTAAACTCCCTCCCCCCGCTGACCGCCGGCCCCCTCCCTCGGCCTCCCAACCGGCGCACCCCCCCCTGCCCACCCCCTCCCCCCCCGAGCACCCTCCCCCCCGCTTCCCCCTGCATCCCCACCCAGGACCTCGCGCGCTCCGCCCCCCCTCATCCGCCAGGCCTACCCCCCCCCCCCTACACCACCCCCCCACTACCATACCTGACCACCCGCACCCCCCCCCCCCCCCACCCCCCTCGCATGCACACGCCCCTGTCCTTGCCCTAATCACACCCCACAGCCAATTCCCCAGTTAAATCCAGTGCGTTTTTGCCACTGTATCGCACTGTGGGGCATGCTATACGCGAACGTGGCTGTGGCGCAAGTGGCCAGGATCCGGCTTTCACCAGAAAATGCACAGGCAAAACCAGCTAACCCCAGGTAGAAAGTAGGGTCCCAGTCCCTCTGCACCCTACGCCCCACCGCCTGTACCGGAGGGCATCAGCAAAAAGCGGGTGGTCTTTAATTTGGCAATGCAATCAGAAGAGGTCACGGGATGTTGTCAAAGCAAAAAGGGGATTCTGAGACTCAGCACGGACAGAGCACCTGTCCCTTATAAAACACCCGGGCATGATAAAGACTATGCATGATTACATTAGGAAGCAAATGGAGAGAAGTCGGTAGTTAATTAACAAGCAACAACCGCAGGGAACTGACAACACTGAAGGTGATTTCTTTTATTCCTTCCAACTTTTAACCATGTGATTGATGCAGTACAGGTCTGTGGCTGGATATGATGAGGAACACAATCAAATACAGAGACTCCATCCTTGGCCCTCAACCTCGCCATAGCCTCAGAAATCATATATTCTTGAATGTGACTCAAAAAATGGAGCATTGTGTTGATGAACAATTTAGTAAAAAACCTCCAACGCAGCCGCTAGCTTTTTTGAGAAGAGTGGACGTCCTGTGTTTCTACCGCTGCCCTACAGACCCTCCGGCAAGCAAGTGGAACACTCCGGACCTGCTCCCTCTGGACTGAGGACGTTTAAGGCCATGCATGCAACATATTGGGTATGTCGAAACCTTAATATTGCACAACCCTATAAGTAGAGCCAACCTAAGCATTGGTCCTAAACTGGCAGTTTGAACTCTTTGTGAGGTCATTATTTTCAATCGAAGAAGGGAAGGTGAGGTTTCAAAAGATGCACTGACAGCGTGTTACCTTAAGAAGTATGACTGGGATCCAGTCCTGACATTGCTCTGGGACTGTCCCAACTTGAGAAAAAGCTGTGTCAGGTCATTTTCAACGCATTGAAACTAAAGGGAAAAGAAGTGGGTAAGTGGTGGTTCTTTTTGACTCCTGAAATGAATTGCCTTGGATGGAGGTGGGTGGAGAACAGACGGGCCCTGTTCATCTCTACCAAAACCCGTACTTCTCTCACCAGCCCGGAGGCGCAGACACGCCACAATCAGGGGGATCAGAACTCCCCCTACGCCAGGGTAGCCAAAGAAATTGGTGGCGGTGCAATCCAGAGATGCTATCCTCAACCAAACTTAGAAAGCACATAGCTACTATGTCTACAGTTTCTCAATATGAAAGACAGAATGAGATGGACATACTTGCCAACTTCCTCGGCCATTTACATTCGGCATCCACAGGGTGGGGCAATATTACAGACTACCCGAAGGACACTGTGTAGCTGGCCAAAATCAGGCAAAGTGTTTATTGTATGATGGCCCATGGAGAAGCCGGAAGAGAGACGGAATTCGAAGACAGGAGCCTCGACCAATACAAATTGAGAGCCCTTGAAGGTAATTCCTTGATATTATTAAACTATGTAGGAGTTTTTTCCCCCTAAAGGCCACTTCTGTATTTTTTATTTTCTGTGCGACAGGGAGAGCAGTAGAGCAACCTCTCACAAACGGGACGGGGCTAAAAGAAACTTCAAGCGGAGAACCTTCAACCATTCATCCAATGCACCCCATGGGTAGTGGCGAGTGCCCTTCTGGTAAGTGTACCAGGTTGGGGGATTACAGCCAGGCTGCTTGGTCCTACACCCTGGGAGTGTATATTGCTAATATATTTTTATTTCTCTCCCTAGAACGTGTAGAGAAAGCCATGGGTCTGCATCCTGAGGTGTGACGGGCTGTGGAGGAAGACCATGACACCTTTCAATACAAGACTCGGACAAGTCCCTGGGAAGTCCTCACTGCCTGGCCTGGCCTGCCTGCCCATGCATTAAATGCAGCCAGGTCGGAAATGTATGGACATCGATTTCCAAGATGGCTGCTGTGCTGATGTGGTGGTGTCACTTAGCTCCAGAATCTTAACTATATCAAGGAAATAAGACCGCATCTACCTCATATAAAGTAATCCCTTATGAACTGAACAAACAAGGATTTTGGATGTGCAAGTATTTTGAGTCTCTGTGGCATATCTTGGACATTTGTGCTCAACAGCAGACACTGAAGATTTCACTTTCCTCTCTTCGCATGGTGCGGCCTGTCAATCAATCCAATTGGGCAAAACATAACTGCATTGACAGACGGTGTGTGGCATCAGGGCAGAGGCTGTAGCCAAATACAGACTTAACAATATGTATGTTTCTAATTTTATACTCCCCTAAATGTGAATTACAAACCAAAGTTGTCCTCCGCCCAATGACCGCTCACTGCGGTTGGACCGAATCACTGTCCGGACAAACAGCAGAGGGAGGGGCTCCCAGTACCTTCAGCAAGGTATTCATCTCAGAGTACTTTCTCAGAGTACTTTCCTCAGAGTACTCATCCCAGAGTACTCTCACTTTTACACCTGTTCAATAAAGCTTGTCATCTTTGAATCTCTAGTACTTACACCGTATGCTGTTGACAAAAAATAATTATTCCATGATCACATTAAAACATTACAGAAAACTTTTGTTATTCCATGATTCCGTTCAGCACTCCTCATTCACTCCCCAACACACTCACAACACACTCACAACACCCCACGTTAGTATTGGTCCAGTTTGTTAAGGTCAACGTAGTGTATTGGACATGACGCACAAACATAAAAACACATATAACATACACAAACATATAAATACACAAACATTAACATAACAAACATATAACATACACAAACATATAGACAACACAAGAGGCCTGTAATTTTAACTTTGTTATATTTTTCCATGTCCAATTACAATTGTCTCATGAGCTATTTTATAGTTGCAACTTTCAGAGCCTGCAGAACATGCAAAGCTTTGAGAGATTTTTCCTAAAAGGATCCATTTCAAACTTTAGTGTTTAAACCACGTGGTCTTTACTCGGGCTTGTCACAAACTGTGTCCCCTATATTTTTAATGAGCTCTTGTTACTAAAAAAAAACTCATGCACGTGCAATAAATGTTTTTCCCTTTTTTTTTTTTAAAGCCAGTTCGGATTCCTTAAAAATGTAAATTAGTTTCAAACTTTAATACTTCACCTTTGTTTCACGTTCATGTGGAGAAAAGACCATTGTTTTATGTGTGTGTACTTGCACCAATCATGTCTCAGATAAACGGCCAACAGTTATCAAAGACATAATTGTCCTAATTGTTTCTAATTTAGCTATTTGGAAGAGAAACATGTCATAAAAGATTTCAAAAAATGTCCCTACATCTTTGTTTTCAACCAATGAACAGTGTTGCGTCTATGTGTTATCAGAAATGATCCAATATCACCTTTAGCCAAAATTCAGAAATGCTTTAAATCATTTTTCAAACTTTAATTGTCTGAACAAACCATTTTGTACTAAATGCAGCGTCCATTAAAAGCTGCAGTTCTCTTTCTAGCACCAGTTTCATCTGTGCATGTGATTGTTCTTAAATGAGAAACGAGCCACGGTTCAGAGGTTGAAAACACTGCTTTAAATATCCGTATTACCAAGATCATGCAGTCAAAATCAATAATTCTAAACTTCTCCGCGTCTATAACTTTAAATAATACTAGTTTCAATAATAGAGCTCCTCTACTTTAAATATACTGCTGTTCTAATCTCCTTGTGTCTCATGCTAAAGCAAGAGTCGAATTAATTTTAACGATTGTCCTGTATTCTTTCATGCAGCTAAATGTGGTGTTATGAACGAATGACCTAAATGTGTAAATATGACTTAATATGTCTCTGTGCGTTTGTTGTCTGTCTGTATATTTACCTTCTGTGTGTCTCATTTAGGCCAGCCACGTCTTCCTCAAATGTCCGTTAATGTCTTTCTTTTACTCATGGCGTCTTTCAATGTCTTTTGTCTCATAGTGTCCAATGTCTTTGTCTCCATGTCTTTTTTCTTCTTCTTCCAACAATCACTTTCTTTCTTCTTCCGATAACTCTTTCTCACAATGTCTTTCTTCTTCTTTCAACAATCACTTTCTTTCTTCTTCCGATAACTTTTCCTCATAATGTCTTTCTTCTTCTTTCATATCTGACGCACCCAAATGTGTCGTGTCCTTCTTCTTCTTGTTTGGTTTTCCGGCGGTTGGCGGCCTATTCTTCGCATTACCGCCACCTTCTGTTTCGTGGATGGGACAACACTCAGTTTGTGAAAAAGTCTGCGGTCTTTTCTTTGCCTCCTCACAGGCAGGAGAAGTCTTCTTCGAGAGTTCCTGTTAGCTGCTGCAGCCGATGCTGCCCCCTGCGACCCGCAGGGAGAGGGGGAGACGCTGATGATGATGATGCTCGGTTGTGGTTTGTGGCAGGGACGATTTTTGGCCAAATGAAACAGACAGAAGTTTTCTCGGAAAAAACAGACAAACAAGAAACACAAACAAGTGTGTTAATTACCATACAAAACCAATGATTAATTATACTATTTTTCCAAAAGTATAATGCTCTCTAAGATCATTCTAACTTTTATATCACCAAAATGTAGGGAAAAAAAAACTTGTCTAGACGCCTTGGAGATAAAAAATAAAATAATGCCTCTTTATAATCTAACTCAAAGTTCTGTGATCCTATGACTCCATGTCAGTAACATTATCGTGTGTATAAATGTAATTTTCTACAAAAAATTCTTTCTTCACGAGAGAGAGAGAGAGAGAGAGAGAGAGGGGAGAGAGAGAGGACAGAACGAGGGAGGGGAGGGGCCTCCCGAACAAAGGAAGCATGGAGTCAAATACTTTTCTCGTTTTTCTCGTGACAAGGTTCTAAATCAGTG